TCTATTATTTTTTCCACTACTGGTTCTCCAGAATGGGTCAGAACCTGATGAATACCACCTCTGCTTATGCCTAATAGTTCAAAAAGGAACACTATGTTACCTATTTTTGTGAAGGAGGGAAGGAAGACCAGTGAAATGAAAAAAATAATAGATTTAGGGGTTGAAGTCACTTCGGAAGGGGCAGGCAACCAGGCAACCAGGCACCCAGCAGCCCAAGACCAAAGAGCTGTAGAAGGCAACAGCCAATGACCAAGAAAAAGAGATATTTGCCTAGAGTGAAATGAAGCATAGCAGGCAAAGTAGGCAGAGCCATTTTTGCTCAGGAAAGTTGGAAAATATTACTTTCAATGCCTAGTAGAAAATGGAGAATATCTTCACAGTTGGTTGAAGGGGCAGTTGAGGACAATGCCATGCATTCTTGCCCTCAAGAAACGGCTACATGGTCTTTATGTGGACTAGGACAATTTAGTTGTACTGATCCACCTTTGTATTCTCCAAAGTAAACATTTTGGAAGTTATTTTCACATAGAAGGACCAATTGCAATACCTCTATATGAATAACTCTGCTCCCTCAACACCCACCTTTTGAATCACTTTTGTCAAACAGCTGAAAGAGTTTTTCTTCCCTTTTTTATACAGTACATGTAAAGGTAGGGGCATCCATACAAATGAGTTGGCATTAGATTCAGGACAGACAAAAGAAAGTGAATCTTCACAGAGACCATAATTAACCCCTTGTGACTGCAAAGAACTGAGATGCCTTGTAAAAGGAGATTGGATGGATGTAATAGAATTTGTGTAGATGGGATTGTGATCAGACACGTCTCTTCCAGAGGCAATACAATTCTGAATAGAAGCTGCGTTAGGTGGAGAGTGAATGGAGGCTATTATTTTTAACTACTCTTTGTGAGCTCTGTGAAAAGATGTGTAAACATCACAAAATAGAAAATACTGATTACAATAACACTGTTATTGCCTTACAGGGAATGAGACAGTTGGGTGGACCAAATGTACCCAAGGTACTCCCTCAGGTAATCACAGTTATGCCACATAGCCTCTTTGCAGAAAAATATATTAATGATGATGAGAATAAGCTGATGACACTATTCTATACTTATTCTATTTGTTGGCTTACTTACATCCAAAGCAAGGAACATTTGACTTTAGAAAGAATTGTAATTGATTAACTGTACTGAAATGATCACTGATTAGGGAATTAGGACCAAATCTCACAAAATCTAAAAAAAAAAAGAGGCTTCTCATCCCTAGCTTATCTTGATGAGTAAACTTAGTCTTGACCAAGTTTACAATCAAACTAAATATTTACTTTACTTATTGAGCAGCATGAAATGACTATGTTTTGATGTATAATTATTTTAATTGCGTTCAATAAGAGATGCTTCTTAATAAACAAGTTGTAGATTGCGTTCTCAAGAAATCCTACCCTGTTTCCCTGAAAATAAGACCTCCCAGGATAATAAGGCCAATCGAACTTTTGAGTGCATGCACTAAAATAATCCCGCCCCTGAAAATAAGCCCTCCCTGAAAATATTGCAACACAGCAACAGCCATGAGGTGACCACGCTCGCCGCTTCCTGTACCTCAAAAATAATAAGACCTCCCTGAAAATAAGGCCAAGTGCTTATTTCAGGGGTCAAAAGAAAATAAGTCTTATTTTCTGGAAACCATGGTACCATGTTCCCTATTACTTTATCCCAAGTAAATCTCTATGGGAGTTCAGTGGCTAATAAGTTTAAAATAATAACAATAAAGTGTAGATAAGTCAGAAGTATTCTATTACTTTTTTAGATATGCAGCTCAGTTTAATACTCCATATTTAATAGAAAGTATTACTAGACTCAGTAACTCTTACTGTCAAGCAACCATGCAGTGAAGTTTGATTTTAATCATAACCTAACTCAATCACACTGATTATTAAAAACCCTTCATTTATTTATATAGTGATCCTGAAGGCACTCTGGAATTTTATGTTATTGTTGTGTTAAATATCCTGTAGTCAACTTCTAGGGTGTTTGTTAAACTCACTGTAGATAATATTTATTGAAAGGATTTCAAGCTGACTTCATTTGTTTCCTTATTGAGGCTTGTGTGTTGTCAAGAGGCAGAATGATTAATAAATAGATATGTAGGGCCTCTTCCTTCACTTCGGCCCTTTTTTCTCTAGCTAAATTTATGGATCTATTATCAAAGAAAGGAATTTGGTATATATATTTATATACCATTTATAAAGGAATCAAGTGGAAAACTCATCACAACATCTATCTATTATGAATTAATTCTGATTGATAATATTGGCTTGAATTTAGCTGCTGTTCTAACTTGTTAGCCTCTGAATTAGCTTCAGAATAAATGTATTTAATCATACCACTTTTAGTATGGCCAGACTTACAGCTACGCTGATCCATTTAATTCGATGTGGATGCACAATTTCCTACCGTCACATTCATCATTTTACTTGATACGACAAAGACCTCAACATGAAACCCAACAAGTAAGCAATTTAAGCTGTTATCGCCTCAGAAACATTGCAGTATTAAAGCAGAATTCTTCTTTTTGGCTTTCTAGATATTTTTCCCTAGACTGGTTTTTTTTCTGGATATGATGAGATTACAACTTTAAGAATTCCATGCCACCCATTATGGTCCTCCATGAGAACTATAATTTCCTGGATCTTCTGTGGAGATACTCAGTCATCCAGGTCATGGTTGTCCCAAAAGTCATTTTTTTCAAAAGGCAACTGGACTTTGTTTTTCGTTGAAGATGTTTTGCTTCTCATCCAAGAAGCTTTTTCAGTTCATTTGAAGAAATGTCTGGGATAAGAAGCAATACATCTTCAAGGAAAAACAAAAAACAACAAAAACCAGTTGCCTTTTGAAAAAGGACCTTTGGAAATTTCTGGATTCTCAACAGCATCTTCTGCATGCAATAGGTGACATCAGTCTCAGTCCAGTCCCTCAGAATGGCTATATGGCATGGCCAATCACAAAACTTCCATTTACTAAAATGCTAAGTGATACTGAATCTACTCCTTTGGCCCAACTTTCCCAAATGCTTTCTATCATTTCTATCAGTATATATTTATCTTTATCCTGGGCTTGTGGTTCACAAAGCACTGAGTTGCAGTTCCCTTCTTATTCAATATCTAGGAAAAGCTTTGAAATCATACATAACAAGAATCATTTTTCAAAATTGTCTGTGTAGGTTCTCATTCATCCAGGTCAGGGTTATCCCAAAGATGCTTTTATTTTAAAGGCAACTTTCTGGTTTTACTTTAAGACATTTTGCTTCTCACCCAAGAAGCTTCTTCAATTCTAGAACTTCACCAGTTAGTTTGAACCGAAGAAGGTTTGTGGATGAGAAGCAAAATGTTTTAAAGAAAAATTAGAAAGTCCCATTGCCTTTAAATTAAAAGCATCTTCAAAATTGATGAAATGCTAGATGTTGACATTTTTCTCTGCAACATGGTAGCTTCCTGAGTCATGCTTATATTAAAAGAATCAATAATAATAATTGGGTGGGACGTGGCACAAAGTTAGGAAACTTTGATGGCCCTGAGAATTGAGCATCCTGATTTGGATGGCAAACAAATGTATGGCATTTCATAATCCAGAAATTCATTTTTCAGATTCATTGTTCATGCAACATTTCAGTATGCCTGAAAATGGCTCATTCATGATTTTTAACCTTTCTCTTCTGGTTATTCATCTTTTATCACTCCATAGTATGAATACACAATGCCAGTGCACCCTCCTCCGTTGCCATCTCAAACACCCACTCTGCTCCAACAACCTGGGATACAAGAGCAACCTCATTACCACTATGCACACTTCCTTCCTACAAGGCAAGTCCAAATGCAACATTATGATGTCCAGCCGCCATTTCATCCAAAGCAGTTTTCTCCATCAGAAGGAAACCAGCCAGATGTTCAACAACAGCTATCATTGGACAGACAGGCTCAACAGGTCAGTTTTGACAAGCAATTGAGATACTTCTAATATGAGTGCAAAATCTCTGCATCTCTAGTGCAGGTAGCCCTCGATGTATGGCTACAATTGGGCCCATGGTTGTAAGTCATTATAGTTGTAAGTCAAAGCATCACATAACTGGATCTGAAGTTTCGGCATTTTCTATGGCAGCTGTGAAGCAAATTCATTTTACCCAGTGAGGTTTTTTTTTGCCGGAAACTGGAAATAAAAAGAAGATGACAAAAAGAAAATCACATTCACTTGACTGTGGGACACTAGAAATGGTCTTAAAGGTGATCCAATTGTCAAGTGCCAAATGATGAGACCATGGGGAGAGGGAGGCCATCACAATCTCAAAATTGGGTCATAAATAGCTTTTTGGGGAGGTGTCAGTTAAATTTTTGGTTGGTCACTAAGCAATTAGTTGTAAGTTGAGGACTATCTGTGATCTAATCATTAAGCACTAATCTTTGGCATGGAGATTATAAAGAATATGAAGGCACAAGATTAACTAAGGCTGAATTAACCATTAAATTCTGATAGTTCTCACTTTTTCCATGTTACATAGTTTGCAGGGGAGGGGGAAAGAGTCTAAAATGTGTATGCATTTTACTGCACATTTCTCATTTTTATTTGCCTTGTTTTTATCCACATATAAAGTTTTTTTTAACAAAGAGCCTTTCCTAATATAATACATTTTGGATTTTTAATTTAATTAATATGTGCATTTTTCAGCAGACTTTTCCTTAAAACACTTTTTAAAAGAAACGTCAACTGCATTGCATTAAATTAGACATTTGCAATCAAATGCAAAGAAAATATTGGAAGATGGTATTTACTAAATAAATGATGTAGATTCTTTGGAATATAAATTGACTGATGTAGATTCTTTGAATGTGATCTTGCAACAATTTATTTTAAATCTACATTTGAACAAATTCCCTAGTTTAAAAATCCAAGTTCCTAAATAAATGTGGTTCATTTATGTGTTAGTTTCTGAATTTCTCTGAAGGATACAAATAAATATTTCTTCTAGATTTTAAGCTTCTTCCAAGAATTTAAACAATTATTAAACATAACACAATTATATTTAGATTGAAAGCTTTCCTTAGTTTATTCCTTATTTGCTACATGTTGTCAAGCTAATGATATCCAATGTTTTCTTTTATTAACTATAGTTACCTGCCATACAAGACTATTCAGGGACATTGGGCCAAGTAAGTATATTTTAACTATGAGAATTATAAGAGATAAACTTCTTGACCAAAACAATTACTTAGAAACAGACACAGGAACTCTCTCTCTCTCTCTCTCTCTCTCTCTCTCTCTCTCTCTCTCTCTCTCTCTCTCTCTCTCTCTCTCTCTCTCTCTCTCTCTCTCTCTCTCTCTCATGCACACACACACACACACACACACACTAAGTGTGCCATATGTTCTTTAGATTTTTTTTTGTTTTAAGGCAGTATGTATTGTAATCACTCATATTTTTCCTGATAACCCATCCAACTTTTTCTTTCTTTTTGAAAAGATCTACCCTGGCTTATTTGGAACCCAGCAAAACACAGCCCAACAACCACAGCAAAGATCTGTAAGTTGGTTCCCTGACTAAAATCTTATTGCTAACTGTTAATGCAGTTGAATTTCCATCACTGGAATTCCATTTCCATCTTAACACACAAATGTAGACATACTTATTTCCAATTAGCTTTTGCTTCAAATCTTTCAGTTCTCCGAAATGCAAACAAATTTACGAAGCAACTTTTCCCCAAATATGGTTCTTCCCTAGAAAGAATTTGATCCATGAGTTTATTAAATGATTAAGAGATTCCAACATAATCCTGATACTTTCCCGGTTCTTATAGATTCCTGCAAAAATGGCATAATCTTAATAATGAGAACCAGTTGGCCAAGCAATTAAGGCTAGAAACAGGGAGACCGTGAATTCTAGTCCCACTTTAGTCATGAAAGTCAACTGGGTGACCTTAGTCCAGTTTTTCTCTTTCAGCCCAATCCACCTCACAGGGTTGTTTTGTGGGGACAATAGGAGGAGGGGAGGCATACTAGATATGTTATCTGCCTTGAGTTATTTATAAAAATAATAAAGGCAGAATATAAATTAAAATAAATAGTGAGGGAATTCCTTAAGAATATTTATATGAGTCCTGTTAAAGCCAGGATGTGGATAAAGATGAATCATTGTTCTGGCTAAAATGGCATGTTCCTTTCCAGTCTATTTTTATAAATATTAAAAAAAAACAGACATCTTAAAATCAGTTTAATTTTTTCTTTTCTTTTTGTTTAGATCTATCCTAATTTGCAATATATGTCTTATGTAGCAAACAAAGGAGTAAGTACTTAACATTAATCTACCCCTAATGAAAACCTTCAGACTTATCATATTTGGGATAAATTTCTGCGCATTTTGTTTAAAATACCACATGGAAATAGTGAGAACCAGTTGATTACAATAAGAGATCATTAACAGGGTTTTAGAATTTCAACATTGTCTTTTTAATTACTGTTCACAATGTTTATTACATTCATAATTTTGCATAATATAGTCACTATTATTGTTTTTCTGTTAACCGTTTTGTTATTAATATAGTTATAGATGACAAACTAACAATTTGATGTAGATGTAATAGTTTAACAGTTTAAAATTCTTTTAGCCTATTTTGCAAGGGGTGACAAACCAACATTGCTGCATTATACTAATCAGCATTCAAGTAAGGAGGATAATAGGTGTATATGTGTTAGGTTTTATGTAGGACATTTTTTTTGTTAATGTCTTTTTGTTGTGGTTTTTTCTTTTTGTTTAAAAACATATTTTGGCATTTTGTACTTTAATCTTTGAATAAACAAAAATAAAAAATAAAAAATAAAGGAAACAGTGGGAATCAGTGCCATCACAATTGAACTTTGAGCACCTAGAATTAGATCTAAGGAATAGATTAAATCTCCATTGAGAAAGTGTTCTTAAGGATAACAAATCACTTCCCCACATTCCTCATAGGAATGGAAAGGATTATATGAATCTTAAACTTGGCACAATTCTTCAATTTCCTTCCCATCTGTTAATCTGCTTCTGTGTGTTCCCACTTATTATTTTGTAAGTCACACTAAAAATGAGCAAAAAATAAAAAGAAGTGACTTAGTCATAGATCACATTTTTCTCAACATAGGCACAGACCCACCTAAAATTTATTTACAATAATAATGGTATTATACATCAATTTACAGATGTGTGTTAAGAGAGTTATCTATATTCTTCCTGAGACACGGAATACTATATGTGCATTTAAATTCCCATAATTTTTCTGGCCAGCATATTCATTGTTCTGGAAATTAATTCATACATTTAGAAGTTGGTCAGATTGGGGGAAACTATAATACATGACCTACATATTAATATATCAACAAGTTTGAGTCCAGCTGTTTAAATGGCAACGGTAATGATTATATCCAAGTTATTGTGGCCACAGGAAAACTCAGATTTCAGATTTTTCATTTACAACTTTTAAAATGGAGAACAGTTATCACAATATTTAAGTTTTTGCCCCAAACATAACATTAAATATTTCAAAAGAAAAAAATGTTTTAAAAGCATAGATGATGTTGTTGGCAATACAGGAATATGCACTATTATATGCAACAAAACATTAGATCCTGAAAAATTAGGACTCTGTTGATATTAGACTGGCATGTTTCATTCCTGATATGTGGTTTGCTTATTTACATGTTCCACAGGTTCCTACCAGATTAGGAATAGTAAGCTCAGAAGAAATGCAGGTATGTTGTGTACATCATAATAGCAATAGCACTTAGACTTATATACTGCTTCACAGTGCTTTACAGCCCTATTTAAGCAGATTATAGAGTCAGCATATTGCCCCAACAATCTGGGTCCTCATAATCTTAATAAAAATTCAATAAAAATTGACTTTCTCTTTAAATATAACCAATCATACAACCCAAGGCTGAGAAATGGATGTGCAGATCAAGCTTCAAGGTTTTTAGTCTTAGTAACATGAACATAAAGTATAGTGGAGGGAAGGGAAGATATTATGACCAAGGATAAATATGTAAATGGGAAGAATTCTGAAAAGCAAAGATAGATAGTCTTTTGCTCCAAAGTGGGGACTTTATGCAACATAAACCTGGAGACCCTTGAAGAATAGCCTCTGTCCTTCACCTTTCAAAGATTCTCCGAGGGAAAAAATGGGCGGCACTATTATAAATATGAAATATTTCCATGGACAGCATTGATACGAAAGCTTTTATAAGACAACTATTTCCTTGGCATATGTAAGATCAAGTACTGATAAACATTATTACATTACACCAATTTCTGCAAAATTTAGCACATGCTCATTTCTTCTAATGAAATTGATGGAATCCAAAGTACTTGTTGCCTTGGAATGGATGGAGGATGGAAGGATGGAGGATGGATGGAGGAAGGGAGGGAGGGAGGGACGGATAGATTGATGGATATAATGATCCAGAAGTTTAGAGATGATTTGTAAGAAAGTGATTTGCAACCTATGGAATTTTCACAATCCACGTACAAATAAAGCAATAATAAATAAAAATGATGTAAACATAGTCAAGATGAAAAAAGTCCAGAATGTATTTATTCATGCAATTTATCTATCCTCTCAATCCTCATGAATTCTAGGCAGCTTATATATATTACAATAACAATAAAATTATATTTTAAAACTTGAAAACAAAATTATAATGGTTAATATTGAATAAAAATATACATGTCCATAAAACAAACAAACAAACACACACACACACAAACACAAACACACACACACACACACACACACACACACACACACACACACACACACACACACACA